GCGGTGGAGACCGGTCTCTACCTGACCGGAGTCACGCTGTGTGTGTCCGTCAGGTAACACGCTGTTTACAAACAGTTCCAGCAAACATCCACTGATAAACTCGCAGGTGATGCTTATAAATGATGCATATAAATGTCGCAAATTGACAGACCTTTTTGGCAGCAGCGCTGCTACAAGCACTATCAGCAGCAGCTTAGAACAAGTGCAAGATGATGAAGAGAATGATGAGGGCGCGAGTTCAGATATACAGCCAGCCTCCTGCGTTCATGATGATGGACAGAGTTGAGCTGGTGGCTTCCCCTGTTTTTTTGGATTGTAGTTATAATTTTAATAAATAAATAAAAACACTTCGTTTAGTTTCGGTAAATATTCTGCCGGCCCATCTCTCCCCCATTCTCAATTCCCCATCCCCCATTTTACAAAGAGTGAAACAGCGCCCCTCTAGATGTTATGGTGAAACAGTAGATTGCACTCTGTTGCGAGAGGAGGCTAGCCGAAATTGGCTTCCCTTGGTGAAAAGAAATTGAGGGATTGACCAATCAGATGAGGCTCACATCATGCCTCACAATCCAACCAAATCGCATCAACTTCAGTTCGCCCTTAAAAAGTAGCAAGCAACTGAAGCAAGTGCAATTATGGAGGGTGAAGATTTGGATTATTTCATAACATTTTTTTTTACTAAACTTCCACTACTACAGCAGCAACTCAAAATGAAATCTGATGACAGGCCAATGCCCAAACTGGAGCTGTGTACAGAGAGGAAAAAAGGAGCGAATCGGACGTAAAACTTTAAATAATAAACAGCGGATTTCTAACATTTGACATTTCATGTGGCCGGACTGGGTCAGTTTCCAGGGCTGAATTTTTGTCCCAGTCCGCCCCTGGCAGCCGGTACAGGTAGAGGTGTTCAATGGGGAAGTCTGGTGGTGTCTACGGTTGCCTTTGTGACTGACTTTATATACTATGGGCTATGATCCCCTGCTACTGCGTCTGCGTGTGTCATTCACGAGCTTCATGCTGTCAAAAATGATGGAAACATGTCTTGTAATGTACGACTTATTCTTTCTTGAGAGGCAAACTCTTGTTAAACATAATTGAGACTTAATTGATGCACAAATGTCCAAGAATGCGCAAAGTGGTCGCCTATGATTGGATAGATTTGGAGTTGCCTTTTCTTGAGGGTATAGCAGCCAGTGCTTTCAACCAGTCTATGCTTTCAACGTAAGTGGACATTGTATGTAGTTGGTTTATATTTGAATGGGCATCTCCACCAAAGGAAGGCAAATGACCTGTTGCTTGGGCAACTTCAGCCTGCTCTTGTGTACCTCCTTGCTGGTGAAGAAAAAAAAAGATCGTGTTATAGCAGAATGTTTATCACAGCGTATTTCTGGTATATTCATTAATGTCACATGGTATTAAGCAACAGTATAGTGGACTGTGTGGTGTTCATTTGGTTTGCTGGAAGGAGGCCCATCTATAGGCAACCAGCTGACACTCTTCACCAGCAGTTGTATACATTGGCATGTGTGGTAGCTGCTAAATAAGGTCATGAAATCTGGGATCATGTAGAACTCAGAGGATGCAACATATATGACTGTATAAGGTTGGAACATGTCCAAGTTCAGGAGAACTGACAATGTGTGTGCGTTAAACATGTTGAGGGAACATGTTCGTGTGTCATTTAGAAAAGTATATCTAGCCCTGTGTTTCTTGTGTTCTGGGGGGGCAGTTCCGCGATTGGCTGCTGTGGCAGCAGGTGATGTACTCCCCATTATTGTTTGTTTGTTGCAACAACTAAATAATAATTACTGATCAGCTATATCTGTGTTTGTGTTTTATTGATTCCTCTCTGTTTCATTCTTTCCTGTTGTGTGAGTGCTGGATCTCCACAACATTTTGGAGGTCCTACCGAGATTGCCAATGCTGGAGGTTGCTGTGTTCCTTCTCTGGGGGTCTCAACTCCCTTGGCCAGGCAGCCCTGAGACGGCTGGGGTAAATCTCAAGGAATTGAGAAACCAGACTTGAGACTTCCACAGAAGAAATACCAACTCACAGTAAGCAAAACGTATTTGGAATGAAATGACTTTTGAAGTTGTATTGGTTAAGAGGAAAAAGGCATAGGTATAGCCAGTGGCGGCCGGTGGTCTTTTTTTTTGGTGGGGCTCTTGACGTACCGTAAGTGACCTACCCGGGGGGTCCGGGGGGTTTCCCCCCGCAAATTTTTTTCGAGAAATGACCCCTTAAATGATGACTTCTGGTGATGTTAGAGGGGGGGGGAAAGGAGAAATCGAGGCTTAAAAATATGAGAAGACTGATCAATACCTCCATAATCTTCAGTGTGGAAAATATTATTTATCAACCTGAACATCTACTACTTTACCAGGAATTTGTGTTCTCAGAACTGGTCTGTTTTTTTTCTTTCTTAAAACTGTTCATGTTTTATGAACCAACACCTTCACCAAGTAGCTTTACAGTGAACTGCATGTGAGATATAAAATTAATAGCATCTTTTCAGTAGCATTAATTATAAATATTTAAGTGGTTCAATACAAGTCACTACAGCATTTCAAACTGAACTGTGAATAAATGCAATTAAAAAAAAATAACCACAGCACAAAATGTCATAAATTGTGTTTTTTCTTTGTTTCTCTGAGGATTATTTACAAACAGGCTTATTTACATATAGCAATAACTCAGAAATGAAAAAGCTACATCGTCTAACACGAACAACCAGTTAGCATAATGATAATATATGTGTTATGTACAATGTAACTGGCAAGGCTAGAGCAAGAAAGAACATAAAGTTTGCAAAAGGTTTAAATAACTTCAAGTATCTCTCTTCAGATTACGTGGAGGTTTTAGTCCGATGGGAAGCAGATTTTAAGCGACACCGAAGATAAACCAAAAATGTGGTGGAGCTGCAAACCGTGTAGTGTTGCTGGGACAGAACAGGAGCTATAACCGTTGGAAAATACATCACAGACAATGCAACAAACGTGGAGACAGAACAATCACTTCTGTGATAAATGCCCACTTATTAATAAACTTCTAACAACCATGGGAAACCTCCTCTCTACATATAAAGTGATATCCAAGCATGGGAAACAAAAGACAGCATTTACCTGTTTGCATCCAGCTAGCCAAGCCTTTCTTGTGTACCAGCTACTTGTGAAGCCTCGTGTATAAATGTTGTCTTTTTCACGAGATTGCTGCGATATATTCAAATCGGGTTGGTCCGGTGCAAGGTCTTTAAGCAACAATTTATCTGCCAAACTTCTCCTTTCGAAAGGATTGGAGATTAGCTCTTGAACAGAATTAGGCGGGGACCGAGGTCCGGAGACTCCACCTGCACACGAAGCCATCCTCATCAACTACTGCGTCAACCGGATACGAGTCACTGTCCAAACTACTCACAGACTGCACTGGGCGCTGACATTGGCGCCCGGTGACCGTCATCTTTGACGACGCTGATTGGCTGAAATTATATTTTCGCGGCATAGTTTACACGTTACAGATAGCAACAGTCAGCTGCTGGTGGCTGCTGCTGCACTGGTTGAAGGCTCCTCTCTTAGCGCCCAGACGAGAGAAGGTGCATGGGCAAGGCCAGGCAGGAAACATGTGACTTATCAGTAACTTTAGACATCGTAACACAATTTTAAACGAGATTTTATTGTAGATTATACATTTTACTGATACCAATTATATAATATTTACCTTGTTCATTAAAAATAAAAATAAAAACATATATATTTTTTTAAACATATTTTTTTTTTTTATTTTAATTTTAATTATTATTTATTTTTATTTTTTTCAATATGGGAAGAGGTGGGGCGGCGCCCCTAGCGCCCCTATGGACCGGCCGCCACTGGTCTTTGCTTTATTTACCTCTCTGTGAACATTTAGGCCAAATTTGGTGACATTCTGATAATTATTTCCAGAGATACATGGGATAAGGCCAACACGGCCCCCCTTCAGAGGAGCCCACATTTTCACTATATTCGGTCATGGGAAAGTTCCAAACATTAACCAAAAATAATAATTTTGCAGTAAAATATTTGTTTCATAAACTAGACATATTAAAGTAATGAAAACACATGGTTGTGCTTTGTTCTACTTCGGGTAGGGGTACCTCAACTTTTAGGGGCCTTAGTTCCTCTACTATGGCTAAAAATCATTTTTTCCCTCATCAAATATAGCAGAAGTGGCTTGAATTTGTTCTCAGGAGGGGAGTTTGACAGAGAATAACTGAAAAAAGTACACAGTTAAAGTACTTCATTTTATTGTTGGTAGCAGTCAAACTAGTACTGAGTCCAACAGTGTCAGTTGTATTAAGAATTTATGGTAAAACATATTTTTTATCGAAAAATATAGCACAAAAACATGCATTATTTCTCGGCGATTACCGTAAAGACGCTATTAATCGCGCACTCAAAAATGAAGAACTGCTCATTTGGCCAAGCAAATGCGAGAGACGGCTGAGTTGACCTGGACAAGCCCTGAATAGCGGTGGGTGGGACCTAACTTAATAATTAGCCTACTTTAACTAACATTTGAGGTAATTATTACTCTAAAATAACCTCAACTTTATTAAAGGTATGAGAAACCGGCTCGAGATACACTTTTTGTTATATTCCATGGAATGCTCTTAACATCCCGATAGCAATGAATATCTTAAGTGCTTTGACAAAAAATCCATAAAAAACGTTATGTAAAAATAAAAAAATAATTCTCAGATTACTGTTTCTGGTCCAGTGACTGTAGCCAAACTGTGAAAAACTGAAGTGCTGGGTGGAAAAAAGTGAGATGCCACTTTCACTTATGATGCTTTAAGTTACTGTGCCCACATACTTGTACTTATTATAAGGGAGGTTTCAAATGCAGGACTTTTAGTTCATAGAGCACATAACACAACATATATTATAACATGTAATGATAATCTTTTCAGTGTTGCGTATGAAGATAATATTGTAAAATGGGTGGAGGTTTAAAGTCAAATGACTTTTCCCTGGCATGAAAGCACGGACATATACCCACGCACACCCGGCCCCCGTCCACCGCCCCCACCCAAACCAAACACATCCAGCCTCGCGCCGTCACAGTCGGGAGCTAAACAGGGAGGGATCACCGGGAATAGTTCAGCTGGTGTCGACATATATCACCGTCTGCTTCGACTATTTCTAACGGGAAAACCGAGAACGTACCGGTGGTGCTGGATACCAGGAGGACGACATGGGGGAGTTCACGGCGTTTTTGCTGTTACTGGTGGCGACCTTGACGCTTTCATCCGAGGTTAGTAGCCTTCCGTGGAGAAATCACAGACGGTGGGAGTGGGTGAGTGGATCCGTGGCTCCGCGGCTCATCTGCGGGCCTGTAGCCACACCGACCACCACACCGACCACCGTCTAACCGGAATACAGACGTGTTTAACGGTTATATTTTAAATGTTACGGTCAATAACTGCTGGCATGAAGGCCGTGTAATCTTAACAGTTAACGGAGCTGCTAATAACGATAACAATATTACGGGAATTTGACGAGGCCCACTCTTGATGTTATCCAAGGATTTGTTATTTTGTCCAGTTTTGAACATCTTGTTGTGTGCGTTCATCAATATTTCAGGTTTATAGTGTTACACAAGAGATTTACTGCGAGGAATTAGCTAACCAGAAAATGTCAGCAATGTTACCAAGGCCTACCATTAGATGTCAGTGATTGACAGTTTGGCCCTGCAATGTTGGACATGTTTTGGTTAATCCAGTGGAGGGAGTTTCTTTTACGCAGTTATGTATAATGTAACAATAATGCTTGCTGTAGAAGGAAGTTATTTGTCAGTAACCTAGCTAATGCAGCTAAAAGGGTTTAAAGCTAACGTTAGCTCTTTTCAGAAATGTACACGGATTGGCATGGCAACCGCTAGTGGCTAAAAAACGTCGTATGTATGCAGTCAGTTTGGGATTTGTGTTTTAAACCCGTAAATACACCAGATAAGACCGACACATACAACACGTTGAGGGTTCATTTGTTATATCTCCTGATACAGACGTTGTTTTTTTATTTATTGTAATGTACTGTGTTATTATTGCTGCTGCTGCTGCGTGGTCATGGCCAACTCTGTCCAGTTCAGCAGTGTTGCAGCTGCAGGGTGTGATATTGCTGAGGAGAATGGAAAAAGATGCAGCCTTTTTAGTTTGACACTAAGCAAGATGGCGCCTGCAGCTTGCTGCTGTTGCTGATGCTTTGCAGGACCAGAGAGAAATACACAACTTTTGAAGGATCTACTGGAGATAGAATGAATAGGGCCTATATTGCATAATTGAAATCAATATGCATACAGCTGTACTCTCAGTACCATGCTACACTTAAGGGTGCATGTAACTTAGCAGAGTGTTTCTTTCTATTAACTGCAGGCTTGATATAACCCAAACCAAATCCCTAAGTGCTACATTATACAATGCCCCTGCAGCAGAATAAAGCAGGACACTACTATTGTCGAGAACCTTCCATTATAACCATGTTGCCATTCTAGTATGACTATGCTGAGGTGCTATAAATATGTCATATTGAGAGCACCCTGTGAATTAATTTACATATATTAGTTGTATTTTAGAGTGCTATTTTAAGATTGCAATGTTTCATAGGATCATATGATCTGTCTGGTCAGATTGGCTTTATAGCCAATGCAATCTAGGTAAATCCAATCATTGTGTTGAAATGTATTTCATTTCCCTGCATGTGTTTTAGGCTGCAGGCTGAGTCAATGATTAAAAGAGCAGCACAGGCCCTAAGATGTGATAACCTTTGCCGTGGCCTGCTGCCACATTGCCCTACGGTCAAACAGGAGTTTGTGAACACCTTTTTCTTTCATGTAGATGAAGACTAGTTTCAACTGGTTGTCTCAGTGTAATCCAAGACTACCAAGTAAAGGAGCAATTAAGTAATAGCATGTTTCTTCATGTAACTGTGCCTTCTGGCTTATACTTGTGACCATTAACATGATTTGAAAGATTAGCCAATGATACATGAGGTTGTCAATGCATGGTATCAGTTGGCAGTTTTAGGATTACCATCCTGAGTTGTCTTCCTATTTTACCCATCGCAAAATAAATCAACTATAAAAAATAACAATGGCCTAATAAGGTGAGAATAGAGTAGTTTCAGCATGAAGGAACAATGAGTTAACCCATCCTGAATCACAGGCAGATAATATAATGCAGAGCTTTACAAACAATCGTTGTATTGTCAACAGATGGCTTGGTGGCGTATTGTCAAGCTTGCATCATCAGTCATTTCTAGTGTCTGCTAGAAAAATAGAAGATCCAGAAAGCAAAGCACATTGAGACTGTTGGGCTGAAGAGAAGGTTATATGTTATCTCACATTAGCTCACAGCTGGATTTTAATAGTCTGTGGTTCAAAAGGTTTCTACTCTTTGCAATGAGACGCAATATGATCTTCTCCACTGGCCTGTGGCTGTAATGCTTAGCTGTCTGGCTTATAGGCTTAAAGGGATAAATCAGAGAATCTTGTCTTGCTCAGGCTTAAACCAGTATTCCAATCCTTTATCTTGTATGTAGTAACTTAAATGTGCAAGGATTTTATAGATGCATTTTGAAGAGACCTTTAACCTTATGATTCAATAATCTATGTCCTGCAGAAAGAGACGTATGTTGTGCAGGACTGCAGGTGAAAGAAAAAGGAATAAACTGAGAGTGGCTAAATATACATTAGCTGCATCAGGAGATATTTATGTTTAAGTTATACTTCAGCCAGTTTGGTACCATCCATCATCATTGTTGTCCTCTCTTTCTCCTTGTCTGTCCAGGTGCCTGCTGATGACTCTGTGGATATGCAAACCGAGCCCCAGGTGGCTATGTTCTGCGGGAAGCTCAACATGCACATTAATGTGCAGAGTGGAAAATGGGAGTCTGACCCTTCAGGCACCAAGAGCTGCATCGGCACCAAGGAGGGCATCCTGCAGTACTGCCAAGAGGTATTTATACAGAGTGACAGAGAAACACATAGGGACAAATAAATCAAGTAGACAGGAAGATGCAGCTAATGCAGTAACAAAGGACATGAAAATATCTCACTTTTTCTCCAGGTGTACCCAGAGTTGCAGATTACAAATGTTGTAGAGGCCAACCAGCCTATCAGCATCGAGGACTGGTGCAAGAAAGGCCGCAAGCAATGCCGCAGTCACACCCACATCGTGGTTCCCTACCGCTGCCTGGGTAACCAGTTTACCAGTTCATCATTCGAATGGTACTGAGCATGTTTATTTACATGATATTAACAAAGGCCTTTTTCCTTTTTCAGTTGGAGAGTTTGTGAGCGATGCTCTGCTGGTTCCTGACAAGTGTAAGTTCCTGCACCAGGAGCGTATGGACCAGTGTGAGAGCCACCTGCACTGGCACACTGTTGCCAAAGAGGTGAGGAGAAAAAGGTCCTCAATATCAATATCAATATGTTCCTTTGAAAAAAAAAAACGGTTGTCACAGGGACCAAGCAAATTAATCACAAGACTCAACTGATGGCATGTTTGAATCTGCGAGTGATTTGTTCAGATTATTGTTATTTTATCGTCGCTCTTTCGTGTTAACTCGTGTGTGGCATCATGGATTTTACTACAAACTTTCATCTCCTTGTGAAATGTTTAAATGTCGTATGTTTTTGTTGTGTTTATAATTCTATAAGAAGTTGTCATTAATGCTCATTATATTTAGTCCTGTGGAGACCGCTCAATGAATCTCCATGACTACGGGATGCTTTTGCCATGTGGTATTGACCGTTTCCGAGGGGTGGAGTTTGTCTGCTGTCCGGCGGAGGCGGAGCGAGAGGCCGACAGTGCTGAGCTGGAAGGGGAGGAGTCAGACGTCTGGTGGGGCGGAGCTGAGACCGAATACTCAGATAACAGGTATCACCACTCGCACACATTCATCACACATTCATCCCCTCTGAAGTACACACTGATTTGTTAATACATGAACATCCTCCTCTCCACGCAGCATGACTCGCCCGGCAGAGACAGAGCCAGCCACAACTGAAGACGATGAAGACGAGGATGAAGAGACAGAAACATTTGAAAGGGATGAGAATGGAGATGGCGATGAAGATGATGATGAGGACGACGATGAGGACGATGTCATCGACGAAAGGGATAGTGATGAGCGCAGTGCTAACATCGCCATGACAACCACCACCACCACCACCACTGAATCCGTTGAGGAAGTTGTCCGAGGTGAGAAATCTAGATGTAGATACAAATGTATTCATTTATCGGCCTTTTTTTCATCGTTGGTTGTTCTGTTGATCGACAATCTCATATTTTTCATTCATATTTTTTATGTTATATATTTTAATTTGCCTATGTGTACATACCTCAGCCGTGTGTTGGGCTCGTGCTGAGTCCGGCCCGTGTCATGCCATGCTGGAGCGTTGGTACTTCCTGCCTGAGAAGGGCAGCTGTGCTCGCTTCTTGTTTGGGGGCTGTGGGGGCAACAGGAATAACTTTGACTCAGAGGAGTACTGCCTAGCGGTCTGCAGCAACTCGTGTAAGTCCCGGGCCGAACCCTCTATACTCTGAAGCGTCCTAACCGCCAGCCTGATTCCTGTCCTCCGGCTGCTGCAGATTATCTCTCTGTCTCATTCACTTTCTCTGACTCTCCCTGAGTGTCTGATGGCTCTTAACTACTTGGAGCACTGACCAGTGTATATATAGTATTTTGCCTAATTTAAATGATCATTTTCTCAGGAAGATAAAAACCCATCTTATGACAGGAAAAGAAAATGCCATAAAGTCAATCATATCCCTTGAATGACTGCTTTTGTTTTTTGTAAAAGTAAAGAAAATATTTACATCTGTGGTAAAGATCAACCAAAGTGATTGCTCTCGTTTTTTAACTATAAGGCTTTTAATTTTCTATATTTTACTTCATCAAGCTTTAACTACACAGACTATATTCAGAATCACTTCTCTGACGGTTTTCATGGGATTTGTTGAGTAGATAACATTTTACTAGCCATCTTCTTCAATAGGCTTAAGTTACAAGCCATTACACACCATTAGTGTAATTGTTAATGGATGAACTCTTTATTAAAAGGAAAATGAAGATCATTGCGTTTCCCTTTTTGTAAAGCAGCCATGATGCTCTCTTTAACTTCTCCTTTCACTGTTTTGACACTAACTGACACTCCTTACGGCATGTGGACCAGGCAGCATACATTCTGAACACTGGATATCAGTGTGTGTCTGCATGCATTTCTACACACACACATGCATGCCTTGCAGCTACACATTCTGTGTCTGCTGCAGCTCCGTAGTGGTCTGACCTGTTAGTTGTTGGTGTCATAAAAATGTCCTAACTAGCTGAGTGTTGACAGTCATGTATGGGTGAATGAGGGAGAGTACTGTTAAGGGTTAATGGGTTAATTTGCTGTTTGAGTGCAGCTTCTGCCCTTATCCTGACTCAGCACTTTTCCTCTTATCTCCAGGCTCCCACATGAAATAGACATAAGGACAACACTCTCCTGGGAAACTAATCACCCTTTGTCCCCTTATAGCCCGTCAGTTTTTATTTCATTGTTTGTGTCTGTGTTTAACCCATCTGTATGTACTTAACATGTTGTATATTTTCAACAAGCTTTGCATTGATGTTTGTCTGTGCGTCGCCTTAATAGTCTGCATTGTGTGGTTTTGATGCACTGGAGTTTTTCTGCATTTATTGTTCATGTATAATTCATACACATTTGTCTTGTGTTTTCCCTTGATCTGTATTTCATTTCTGCCTCTTAATTGTCGTCCAGTGCCCACCATGGCCCCCAGTCCTCCCGACGCAGTCAACCACTACCTTGAAGCACCCGGAGACGACAACGAACACTCTGACTTCCAGAAGGCCAAGGAAAGCCTGGAGGCCAAACACCGTGAAAAGATGTCCCAGGTATGTTTGTGTGTCAGGGTTAACATCCTATACATTCTCTCTGGGATATTGCTCTGTCAATGTGTCCACACGAGTTTGTCGGTCTTTAATGCTTCTGTCCCTGATGTGACACTTTTTATGTCCAGGTGATGAGAGAGTGGGAAGAGGCTGAGAGGCAGGCCAAGAAACTTCCCCGTGCTGACAAGAAAGCTGTCATCCAGGTAGGACACGCATCTCAACTCCTTCTGTATTTGTTTTATACCAAGGGTTCTCAACCTTTTGTAAATAAAGTCACTGGGCTGTAAATATGTGTTATTCCTGTCAGCTGTAATGACTCAATAAACTGCTTTCCCTCACTGGGAGAATGCTATTCACTGAATTTAGCAGCAGCCTCCCATATTACCTCTCAGCTGATATCCACAGGGCTATAAATGCTCTGTGAATGTAAAGGGTTTCTTGCTAGGAGCAGCAACCATACAGCTAGCTTTTAACAAGAACGATAATACTTTAATGGTGAGATCAAGTAGCTCCATTTGCAACATCAACAGGTCAAATATTAAGACACAATACAAGTAAAACAAACATTTAACATAACACCACAATCACTGAGAGAAACATACTCAAAGACCCTTTAGTTTACATTTGAGATGTAGCTCTGTTTTTACTGTTAGGATTGACTGGTGCACCAAGGAGTGCTTCAGTCTGACTTGACTTAATAAAGTGGGTTTAGACTGATTTTTTTATTTGGTGATGACTCTTTGTTATCCCCTACAGCCCACCCATTTCGTGTTTTTGAATATATTAATTTGGCTTCCCAACTAGTGCTTGTGTTTGAGGTCTCTCTAAGGCTATGCTTTTTAAGCTGCTCACAAGATTTCACCACAATGAACACATTGTGCTGTCGGCCTCGAAACACTGGCTGCCTTTATAAAACAACATTTCATATATCCAAGGTATTTCCCAGCTAAACGCTTGGTGCTTTTACTGGCGCAGGGTTGTCTCCCAAATGACTTTTTCTTACAAAAATGAATGGGCAAAGAAAGAACTTATTTTAACAGCAAGAGCAAAATAAATGTGACACTTGTGGGAAGGATTCTTATATAACTATAACTGGTTGTAATTATAATCAGGCATACAGAGGGAACATTTAAAATTGTAAAATGTTCTTCTTTTGCAGCACTTCCAGGAAAAGGTGGAGGCTCTGGAGCGGGAGGCAGCTGGAGAGAGGCAGCAGCTGGTGGAGACCCACATGGCCCGGGTGGAGGCTCTGCTCAACAGCCACAGACGCCTGGCTCTGGAAAATTACCTCAGCTCCCTGCAGGCCAACCCTCCACGGGTACGCGCACGCACACGCACAGACGCATACTGTACATGTGTCCAAAAATCATGAGTGTTCACGGAGTGGTAGATATTAATTTCATGAAGGATTAAGAGAGTAGCTATAGCTGTCTCTGTACATTTCCTAAATACTATTCCCAAACTATTCCACAGTTTTACCTGGAATTTATAGAATAAAAACATCAAATGACAGTATATGTTTTTATATGACTCGGCCTCCCCAGGCTCGTCAGGTGTTGACCCTGCTGAAGAAGTACGTCCGTGCCGAGCAGAAGGACAGGCAGCACACGCTGAAACATTACGAGCATGTCCGCACAGTCGATCCCAAGAAAGCTGCACAGATCCGGCCTCAGGTACACACACAACTCTTAGGCTGTTTTTAATGTGTTTCAAGGATTTAAAGTGATGGTATTTGTAAATTCTTAGTACAAATCTAAACTTAAATGATATGTCAATGTAGATAAACAAAATAATAATTATGAATTAAAGTACAACTTCCTCATTTTCTTGTGACCTTTAGGTTTTGACCCACCTACGTGTGATCGATGAAAGGATGAATCAGTCCGTCGGTCTGCTCTTCAAAGTGCCCAGTGTGGCGAACGAGCTCCAGAGCCAAGTCTGTAAGTGTCTGCTTCTATGCTTCTAACTGCTTTATGATTCACATTTTTGTGTATATGTGACCCGCTCTATCGAAATCAGTCGGAAGCCGCAACGGCTCATTTCAAAAACGTGGATTTGTGTAAAAAAATAGTTTTTCGGGGTTCAGGTGTTTTGTTTGATTTTAAATAAACAAAGTCTTGGCTTTCAGAATATGAAACTTTTATTTCCAAAATCACACGATAAATACATTTTTGAAGCTTGTAAAGGGAAGATGACAGCTCTCCCTCGCCACTCTGCTGTTCCGCAGCGCCGCTGCCCCTCCCTCCGGCTGACATTATGAATGTAAGGCGTATAGTAATCATAGATAACAGTAACGGTAACAGTCATTATATAATGTGACAAATTTTGCTTAATATTACAACAACAATCCAGATATCATTAGAAAGCTAGGAATCTCCTCTTTCCAACAGTGTATACTACTCAAAATGTGTCTTTGGGTCAATGCGACTGATTTCGATGGAGCAGGTCACATATTATTATAGTGATCATAGTTATAATTATTATAACCTGATAATATTTTACCAGATCCAATTCAGTTAAATGCTGAAAAACACAAAAAATATTAAGTACTATTTTCTTCCATAGCTTATTTTTTTGTTTGGCCCTTATTTCTAGATTTCACAGTTGTGAGTCAATATCAGTTTTAAAGCTAGAAAAATGTGTTGATCAGAAACATTTATACTTATCTGCAAAAATCAAGATAAAAGATCAAATGTTTAAGTTATTTTAACATTGCCAAAAATTCACTAGTTTCAGCCTATAAAATGTAAATAAATATATTGCACTTTTTTTTTTTTTTAAATAACAATAAAATGCAAATCCAAAAACGGAAACTCAATAAATAAAAACCTTTTTTGGACTATTGGTCGGACAAATTAAGACTTTAAATATATTGCCTTTACCTATGAGCCTTTTTAATTGTGGCATTTTTCAATGTTTTCTGTCATGTTAGGGACCAATGAGTAATTGATTTGTTGGGGAAATAATCAGCAGACTAAGCAACAATACATTTTAAAGATGTGGGCTTAACATGTTTATGTCATGGTGTGATGTTTTCATTTTTAAAAGATAAGTTGTTAAATTATGAAACTTACAAACCTACTATTACCAGCTGATGTTACACACAGACTTAATGAAGAAGCTCAGTGCTGAGTGAGACAGAAACCACTTTAACAGCATGTCTGAGGTGATGGATGGTGTGCTGATGGCAGTTAGTTTGTCTTCAGTAACCAGCACACCGCGCACACCATCTATCATCGTGCTGCGTCTCACACTCGCTTTCTCCTTTTGCTTCCCAGCTGTTCTGATGCAGAGAGTCCAGGCAGAGCTGTCTCAGCAAGTTTCCTCTCTGCAGAGCGATGGGCGGGTGAGTCCAGTTTCACCCACTCACATGTATGGAGTGTGTCCAGTATAAACTGCACCAGCTCTCTGAATAGAGTCTCCTCTGTCCGACAGTGGAGAGAAACAAAGTCCCACACAAAGAAAGGTTGATGCAGTCTTTGAGAGCAGGTGGTGGAAGAGATTTTGTTCAAATGGCTCAGCTGATCACAGATAGTTGTGACTGTTATTGAGAACAAAAAGGGAGAAACATTTGGTCACACAAGAGAACACTGTACTTGAAGGGAAAAACGTCTAGACTCTCACAGTCATAGATATAATTAGATTTCAGTTTAGTGTATTGGGCAAATAATCACAACAGCCAGTTAGAGTTCAATGAGTGATAACTGACTTTCCACTTCTTAAAGAAAGTTAAAGACAGTCTCACATCAATATGTCCATATTTAGACACTTAGGGGAATTTGGATGTAATGATCATTTCTCACACATATGGAATTGCACCAAAAAATGGCATGTCAGAATCGGCCTAGGAAATGTCCACCAGTGCATCTTCATCCCTGTTAAAGTGGCTCTGTGTGTTTAGGTGGACGGCAGGGTGAGCTACGGGAACGACGCCCTGATGCCAGACCAGGCCTACAGCTCTGCCCCCATGGAGCCCGGCCTGGACGGACTGGGCTTCGTCCACCCTGAGAGCTTCAACCAGGTCAACACAGAAAACCACGGTAACACACACCTACGGTACTTTAGTATAGGCATAGCTTAAACTTGTTTGAATAACATAAAATGCAAATGTATATCAATTTGACTTTTTTCACGATATGGCATGTAAGGTGCTTTTTTTAATGTTCTTTATTCATTTTCCTGCAGTTGAGCCTGTTGATGCTCGTCCAATTCCAGATAGAGGACACCCTACACGACCTGGTGAGTGTGTGTTTGTGTGTATTTCTGACCATTTCTGAGTCCAGTATGACTGTGAGCACTTTAAACATGACTGGGCACTTTACATTTTTTTATTTAAATGTACCTTGGGGTGATGTGGCTGCATAATATTGTTTGATACCAATCATGATGTGAGGAGAACAAGTACAAATGTTCTGTTATGTTAGATCTTGTAGTTGACCTGTGGAGATTTCTGGTTAAAAACTATAATTATTTTAACGCTCAGTTTAAATCTGGGAAACGCATCAACTAAATGAAGTAACGCTGAGTTTCAAATATCTTTTTAGCTTTTTTTTAATACAGTACAAATATAATATAATGCAATATGTATTTCGTTATTACATTCCTTTATACATGTATGTGTTTTTATAACAAATATTTGCTGTGTATTTTTGTTTCAGTATCACCCCTGAAGCCAGAGGAGATGCCAAAAGTGCGGATAAATACTGACGAGAGGCAAAGTGCTGGATATGAAGTCAACCCTCAGAAACTGGTATGAAAGAGCTGAAATCCAACAATACGCACATAATGGTGTCTTTTATTTCTGGCCCTGCACTTATTTCTGTTCTTTCTTTTCCAATTAACTGCAGGTGTTTTTCGCTGAGGATGTTGGATCCAATAAGGGGGCCATTATTGGACTTATGGTTGGAGGGGTTGTCATAGCAACCGTCATCGTCATCACCTTGGTGATGCTGAGAAAGAAACAGTATACTTCTATTCATCACGGTGTGATCGAGGTAAAGAAAGGGTATTTTGAAAAGATGTGTGTGAGGAATGCAGCAGTTAGTTTGTACAATCGTTAGTTCTTTGTGACACTGATCCCCTCTCTGTGTGTCTGTAGGTCGATGCAGCGGTGACTCCAGAGGAGCGTCACCTGGCCAAGATGCAGCAGAACGGCTACGAAAACCCCACCTACAAATTCTTTGAACAGATGCAGAACTAACAGCTCATCAACATTTCCCCCCCTGAAGTATCCCTAAAACTCACTGTCTGTTCCTTTCTGCCCCTTAGCCCCTACACCTTCAGTTTCTCACCACTACAGGCAAAGGAGAGGTGTGAAGAGTCCTGCAAAGGCTGATTTGTATCTTGCTTACAAGTTAGGAAATGATGAGAGGGAAGTATTTGTACCAGTTTATGTCTCAATCTGAAGTTTGGGCCGAAATAATTACATGGCACAATCCCTTCTTTATCCCTCAATTGTAAAGCGCCACACATTATATTTACCTGTAATTGATAAGACAAGGGTCCCTGTTTTACCTGCACATTTCTGCAAATCAAAACAAAGACATCAGTGTTTGTAGTGAAAAACCCTGTTGACGATTGACTCGCCACTGAGACCAGAAACATGTAAATCCAAGCTGTTTAAATCCCTGCCTCTCCCTCTCGCTCTGCACGGTTTGTTCCATTTTGCGATGGCAGCTGTGCTTGATGACATAACAGCTCTTAGAGCTGACAGCGGGCGGAGGCTCTCGCACGATTAAAGCCCAACTGTTTCAGGTTTGTTTTTCAAAAAAGAAGAAAAAAAAAGAAAAAACCATAATCAAAATATGTAAAAGTTGAAGAATTTTGAATGTTTTTTTTGTTTTCTTATTTTTTTTTTATGTGTAATATATTAAGACAGAGATTAGCTGTAAGTATATGTAGTGCATGGCAATATTGAAGACAGATGCAGTATATTGTATGTTGAGGTCCTGGAGAGAGGTCCTCTTACTAGATATTTTAGCAGGATTGTACATTTCTCGTGTCTTCTTTGTGATCTTGTGATATGAAGAAGAAAAAGAGTATTCAGAACCGGTCTGCTTTGTTGTCACAGACTTGCTTTAACTTTGGCTCATTACACTCATCTCCATGCTTCACTGTTGTGTTAGCTGCATGGGCAGAATGCTCTATATGTAATATATATGAAGTGTTATAGTATCCGAAAGGAAGACAATTTTGTTACTGTTTGCGTTCTATGCACTCTGTCATTTTAGAAGATCACCAAATATTATTCCTGTTAATTCCCTAATGCCAATTCATGCTGCTCATTGGGTTTTTAACAGGTTTAAATCGAACTTTCTAAATCTATCATTCCAGATCTATCATTCCACTCTTGAGTTTATATATTTGGAGATCAGCTCTCAATGGCCCAGTTTCATTATCAAGCTCCACCTCTCAAGTCTTTCCCCCTTGTTTAGTTGTTCTTCACTCTCTTTCTAACCCCTGTCTTTCCTGTTTATCCACTCTTTCTGTCTGTGTCAGCATTATTGTGAAGCACAGCACTTAGGAGTATTTTGCTAAAAAGACAAGTTGTTGTTGGGCCAACAGATATGACGCGTTTCTCCTCTTCACACATTCCTTCACCAAATCACTCTCATTCTATTTTTCTACATTTCCTGCGTAAACATGTACAGTGCTTCTGTTCGTCCTGTGGTGAATGTTTCTTTGCCTGCATATCTGTTGTTAACGATCATCATGAAGAGATGAATTATCACCATCAGTACTGGGAGTGGACCACATGTCACAATCGGCATAGAGACACATTTCCCTCTCCCTTGATTAAGTTATTAATGCCACCTCCAGTAAACATGAATGTGACATGAATATTGTGCTTTTTATACCATAGAATACAACACATATCGCCTCTACACATTATACTCACATGTGATCAGACACACTTAGTGAAGCCCTTAATCAGGTGAATGTTTTAAAATTTGAATTGATGCTCACTCTGGGTGTCTTTGGAGAAATGTGTTTTAAAAAAAATGATGCTTTCCCCCGTTATTGTGTAGTTAAATGGACCATTTGCGTAGAGTAAGGAAAAAGCTTTCTACACTCACTATAAATAAAATTTTGAATGTACATAAATTGCTGGCTGTTTGTCATTTTAAGTTCCTTACTATGATTTATACAGAATATTTAATAAGTTCAGAGATGAAAAGACTGAATCACAGACATTAAGAAAAATGCTCGCCACTTTATTCCCTCTAGTGGACAAAAAAGGGTCCAACAATTTAGGGAACAAACACTAAATAAAATACAAAGCAGGTCCTCTATAAATGGAAAATATGAAAATACACTTGTCCTGGTGGCTATCAAAAACATGAAGTACCGGTATATACAGTGGAAATGATTCTAAACTACAGACAAGGGACTCATTCACTCACTCAAGCATTCAAGCAACATGCACGCAGCAATACTCCATCACAGACACCCGCCTCCTCCTCCAGAACACATCTCTTGGTTAATTCATTTTTACCGCCTCAGACTCACTTCAAACTGTAAAGATAATAACAAAGTTGTTAATCCACAATGATCAGCCTTGCATTTTTGTGCCTGATAAACACAGTTGTATCAAAAAAAGAATAAAGTTGATTTGATTTCCAATCAGCGCTGGAGAGCAAACTTTGGCGGCAGGAGAGCGTTTTCACATGTCCTCCTTCAACTGTCTTTGTCTAGTGCGGTGGTGGCCAGCGTCACCGTGGTGATGGGCTGACCAATGCCGTGCATCTGCATGCGGGCCAATTTTTTCTGTTCACACTCGGTCACCAGGTTGTTGAGGTCAGCAGCACTGTAGCCAATCAGAGTTCTCAGGTCGCACACAAACTTGTAGACGAAGCGCTTGCCCCTGCACCTTGCTGATCATGTCCCCGTCGTAGTAATACCTGAGAGAGAGAATGAACGTTAGAAAACTGCCTGAAAGGAGCCCAAATAAAATCCTGCAACTTAAGTATTTTACCACATGGAATTAAATAATTTCTTGTTATCTAATATCTCATTTTGACCAAAGCTCTTCAACTTTATGGGAGTACAATACTAAACACCCCCTTTAAAAGGAAGAAACCAACCTGAGGGCTCTGCTGAGTTTCTCGTAGTTCATAGTAGGCTTGTTTCTTGCGCTGGCCCCATTTCTGAGCCACCAGCTCCGGCTGGTTGAGTTTGAACTCGCCCTCCTCGCCCACCCAGGAGATGCAGTCTCTTGCATCCTTGTCTGTCAGCAGCTCTAACAGGAACTGCCACAACTGGATCTGACCGTTGTTGCCTGGCACCAAAAGAAACAGAGCATTCAGTGTAAAATACCAGTCACAAAAAATCACATGAAATAATAGATGCATTTCTATAATTGATTATTCTGCCAATTTATGTAAAGTTCCACATCTGTATAGACCTGGCCAACAATACTGACAGATTGAAAGCTTTGTAAAAATACAGTATATGGTATAACTCTGGTAAACAAACCCTCCTCCCAGTCTTTTTAGTACTTTAAGGTTGTGTGTCTAAAAAAAAAGTATGTAACCTGCTTAGATTTAAATGACACATCAACATCATGGGTTATGAATTACCTGTGCGGTTGCCCGGTGAGCTTCGCTCCTCTCCTCCTGAAATACGCGGTGTTCTGGGGCCACGGCTCTGCTTCATCACCTTTATGGTAGTGGGTGTGCTTACTTGTGTTGGGATTATCTGTACGGCTGAAGACACAGACGGAAAGTTAATGATAACCAGAATATTAATGATCAGGAAAAACTGCTAGTGTCCATTACAATGTAAGTAGAGCTTTTCCTTCTGTAAGCCAGTCCCCAACTCCGGGGGACTTCCGGCCGGGGGACTCTGGGTGGCAGTATACGCCGTGAAGTTGTTTGCGGCCTGCCAGTAAATCCAAAGCAGAAGAAGACGAAGTGACGTCAGCGGCTCATTTGCGTAATCTTCCCTCAGGGAATTTATTCCGGTGTGAACGCGATTCTGCACTAAGTGCCCTGGGGTAATAAGTGCCGGGGCACTGAGTACGGCAAAAGTACTTGGTGTGAACGCGGCTATTTTCTCCCCTAATGTGCTAGCTTTGTTGGTTTTTCAATAAACCACTTACGCTGATCAATGGTGACAGTAGCGTCCCCACCAGACTGGTCCTGGCTTGCCAACACATCTGAAATAAATACAAGGCATTAGTACTGACACATTTATTAGGCTATGATTTCTGTCTTAGGTATAAACAAGGTGGGACTTGTACTTCCAATTACATCTGGTGACCCCTTAAAACACAAACTTTACGCTACAAAAACATTTAATAACTATTTAACTTACATTTGCGCAGCAGCTCCAGGTGACTCCAGAGTATCTCTCCGTTGGGAACTTTCTGAAGGAACTCTTCCTGGCTGAAGAAGCAGAGATCCTCGACCTGGAATGTGAATGCTTCCGATTTCCATCTCATCGATGTTGAACTCCTTCATTACCCACACTGCCCAGTGGATCACCTGGTCAGCAGACCAGAGCACAGGATCTGGGGAAGGAGAGGAGGAGAAACATCAAACACCATGTTCACCACGTTAAATATGTTTCTTCCCACAATAAAGCGTCTTATTCAAGTGATTCTCACCATATGGTATGCCCAGGCGAACCTGCTCTTTTCGGTATCCTTCCAGTGCTGCAGCCCAGCGTGTAACCTGCTCCGAGGTCTCATCAGAGAGGCCAGATCGCTCCACAGCAATGAGTTGACCCTCCTCTACCATCGTTCCATCCTCTCCCGCATCTGGGTCAATAACCACTTCTACTGTTTCTACCGGCTTCACAATTTCCAAAATGTTCAACTTCTCCTCTCCTGGACAAGGGAAAGAAAACAAATAGGTGAGTTTGGTTTGGTGTATGATGAATGTTAAGTTTGGATATCAAAAGTAATACAAAGCTTTATATTATCTGATATTTAAAGCATCATCCGAGTACCTGGTTTGGTTATTATCTGCAGGCTGAGCTGCACGGTGCCATCGGTTTTTACACCCTGGTCAAAGAGGCTGTGGTCAGGGTGAAGCTAAAAGGAAGAACACAACAGATAAGCTTTAAAAAAAGAAGCAACACTTGGCAGTTCAAAGGACTACTATAAGATCAATTACATGACTATTGTGTTAGCAGCAAAAACATTATCGAATCATAGAGAGATCTTAATATGTTGTATTTATCTCAATTCTTACCTGAATGTCCTGCAAGCAGATCTCATACGGATCCAGTGATATCTGGATGCGGGGCTCCAAAAGCTTCTTCAAATTGCCAATGGGCTCATTGATGTCAATATCTTGTTGAATCAGATCTGACGCAGTAATGGTCTGCTCCTCAACACTACATGTACAAGAGAGGGGGGGGGGGGATTAGTGTTTTATTTGCTTCATGTGCAAGAGTATGCCATTCAAATTATCCTCTTCCTGCTTACCCTTCCTCCAGGCATGCCTGCTTCTCCTGCTCATCTATCTCGATCTCTATCATTTCTTCAGGTTCACCTTTAGACATTATGTTCTACGCAGAGAAAAAACCTGTAGGAAATTTAAAAAAAAGGTTGCGTTACTAATGCTTAGATACACTACATACTATAGCCGACCATAATCAAAAACACATTCACACCAGGTCAATGATGATGTCTTCAACGTATGCAATACAATACTGTAAGACAAAGAAATAAAGAAAAGTGTCACATTCAAATGGCACTAAATGTTATTTGGGAGGGTCAGACTGTGACTACAAGATCCTGGCAGACCTCATGCTGAATGAACATACTATATTTTGAAGAGTCCAAAATTGTAATCGATACAGCAGGATTCGCAGGAACAGTTTGAATGTTGGAAATTAATGCAGACTACTTTCATATATTTCGGAGCTGCTCTCTAAACAATTCATATTGCAAGAGATTCAATTAACCCTTTTTCTTAACACTACATATTGATAAATAAAAACTAGTGGGGAAAATGGACAACATACTTAGGGGATGTGACCTACTGTTTTATATTGTTCCATGCTCACTGCTTGTAGCACTTCGGGATTTTAACTCATATATGAGTGCGTTATAATGAAACCCATTATTATTATTATTATTATTACTGTAGTTGGAAAACCCCTCAATCAATGTTTTGGTACATGCAATCTGTTGTACTACTTTTTTTTCCCTCTTTAACCTGAAACTACCAATGCAATAAGAAATGGTAACCATGCATAATAGTTGTTTTACCTAATGCTATAAATATTGAATTATATATAGAACCTTTATTTAGTCAGGAAAATCAATTAAGAACAAATTCTTATTTTCAATGATGACCTGAATATATATATATATATATATATTATATATATATATATATATATATATATATATATATAAACATACATTAAAAACATTAGCCTTAAAACAAAAGTTTCACTCTATGGCACAGACACACTATTGCCCACTGAAGGAAAATAACTGCTTGTGTTTTTGTATTTATTATTCTGTGATTGGAAGGTTTGTGAGCACAGACAACTAAAAGTGCATACAAAAAGTTTAAATAATTGAGGTTTCGATACGTGAGAATATTCCGGCTGAAGTG